GTTACATTTTCACAGATGAAATTTAGATGAACATGTTCTAAAATAAGATGAACGTGTTACATAATAAAATGAAGATGTTATAGAATAAGATGAACATGTTACATAATAAAATGAACATGTTATAGAATAAGATGAACATGTTACATACACAATAAGGTGAACATGTTACGTAATAAAATGAACATGTTATAGAATAAGATGAACATGTTACATAATAAAATGAACATGTTATAGAATAAGATGAACATGTTACATACACAATAAGATGAACATGTTACGTAATAAAATGAATATGTATTGTTTCAATCTACAATCTGTAACATGTTCATCATATTTGAAAACATATTCATTTTATTATGTAACATGTTCATTATATGTCAGTATAATAAAATAATTACGAAAAAATATGAAAAATTATGAAAAAAAGAAAAATTAGTTGTGTTCAAAAACCTATCAAATGTGGTCTCTATTTATAGATAATGAAAAATTATGAATTTTGGTATTTTTATTTTATTTTTTTAATATAAATAATTAATGATATTTTAATTTATGTAATATGTCTCATTTTTCAATTAAAAAGGAAAATTGAAGATGTGAACTGCACTCTCCAAATTTCTCTAGTATTGGGAGTTTTGGAGAGAAAAGGGGCGCGTGTAAATGTGTCCTGGCACACCTAGCTAGGTGTGCCAGGGCACACGATAGTGGTACTGGTGGGAAAAAGTGTGCGCCCCCAAAATTACAAGGTAATTTCCAGATGACAAACAAACCTAACTTCAACGTCACAACTTGCACTCTTCCAAATAGTATCGATTTAACGTAGGGATGTAAATGGGTCGGGTTGGGTACGGGTTTTGGCAAACTCGAACCCGACCTACATATAATTTACCTTACCCAAATCCGACCCGTTATCCGGCTAGTGATCTTCGGGTTCGAGGTGGGTTTTACCCGGCAGGTTAGTGGGTTTTCGTCGGGTAAACGGGTAACCCAAATCTTAAATTTGAGTTTTACTAGAACCATTTCGTTTTATATGAAAAAATAAAATAAAATAATTTAACAACTAATTATAATGTAAGAAATAATATATTAACTATGTTTGAAAATAAAAAACTATAAAATAATTATATTATTTTTAGAATAAATAATGAGATATGATTATTTATCTTTTATATTCTATTTAATATTATAACATTTAATTAAGTAATAATGGTGCTTTATAGCACTTTTATAAAATAAAAAATGAAATCTAGCCATG